AGCACCATGCTCTAGCCAACTGAGCTAACCGGCCAGTCCTTTAAAATTATTTATTTATTGGGGCTGGCCCTTGGCTCACTCGGGAGAGTGTGGTGCTGATAACACCAAGGCCACGGGTTCAGATCCCATATAGGGATGGCCGGTTTGCTCACTGGGTGAGCGTGGTGCTGACAACACCAAGTCAAGGGTTAAGATCCCCTTACCAGTCATCTTTTACTTAAAAAAAAAAAAAAAAAATTATTTTTGGCAGCTGGCCAGTACAGAGATCCAAACCCTTGACCTTGGTATCATTAGCACTACGCACAAGAGCATATAATTAAAGTGTACAGTTTGTTTTTTAACCCATCTACCCTGGGTGATGAGCCCAGCACTCCCTCTGCTGTGGCACTTTGCTCTAGGTGCAGGGTTAATTTATTTACTCATTTTATTTTTGTTTTCATTTTTTATAATCAATCTTTAATTTTCAGGATGTGTACTCTTTCTCCCACCTGGTTCCCACGAGTGATCCTCAGTCCCATTCCACATACCCATGGCAGTAGCTTGGTCAAATGATTGCGTGTGCCTCTTCACCAACAAAAAAAGAGGTAGATGGGCAAACATGAATGAACCCCACAGAAGGCACCTGTGAAGGAAGAGTTGTGGCAAAATGAATGGGGGGAGAGGGAGTGGCTGCCAGAGCAATGCGGCAACATTCACTGATGTGGACCTGCTTCATTTCACTGAACTGTACGGTCAAAAATGTTTCTCATGGTAGATTCTCTGTGATATCTATTTTACGCCAATATAAAACAAAACCAAACACCGTGTTTGTGACAGGAGTAAGGGAGTTCCTGGCTTTGTTGCAGAGGGTCATTGTCAGTGAAGATGAAAAGAAAGACAAAATACAAAAAAAAAAAGTCTGAACTGTACAATTTGATGCATGTGTATAAATATGAAACCATCACTAACAATCAAGATAACATACATGTTTATTGACCTTAAAAGTTTCCTCGTGTCCTTTTATGATTCTTCCTTTGTGTACTTCTCTGCCTCCTCCTCCCATTCCGTGTTCAATGATTTACTTTCTGTCACTATAAATTAGTTTTTATTTTCTAGAGTTTTATTTAAATGGAATTATGTAGTATGAACTCTTCTTGTCTGGCTTCTTCCCTCTAGCATATATGTACTTATTTATTTATTTTTACCTTTTTTTTGAAAAAGCATACTTTGAATGTCAATAGTTTATTCCTTTTTAGTGCTAAGAGTATTCCATTGTATGGAAAGATTTCAATTTGCTTATCCATTCACTTTTGAGAGACATTTGGTTCTTTCCAGTAGTTTTTGCCTGTTGCACTGCTGCTGTGAACATAAAGTTGCTGTGAACATTTGTGTGCAAATCCGTGTGTAACATAATGCCTTTATTTTTCTTAGGAGTAGAAACACTGGTCATATGTGGACAGAATGCTTTTATTTTTCTTAGGAGTAGAAACACTGGGTCATATGGTAGGAGTATGTCTGACTTTCTAAGAAGTTGCCAAATGGTTTTCCAAAACAGTTGTACCATTTTATATCTCCATAACCAAAGCATGAGTTTTAGTTCTTGCCACACTTGGTATGGTCACTCTTTTTAATTTTAGCTATTCTGGTAGGTGTCAGTGGTATCTCATTGCAGTTTAATTTGCCTTTGCCTAATGCCTAAATGATGTTGAGCATCTCTCTGTGTGCTTATGTGCCATACCAATATATTCTCTGACGACGTATCTGTTTATGTCTTATTTTAGAAAAAACTAATCATGGTAAAATACACATCACATAATATTTACAATCTTTAAGTGTGCAGTTTGGTAGCATTAAGTATATCCACATTGCTGTGCAACCAATTTTTGGAGTTCTTTTCATCTTGCAAAACGGCTGCCTATTTTTTAAAAATTGGGTCGTTTGTTTTCTTATTGAGTTTTGAGATTTCTGTGCATATTCAGATGTAAATCCTTTATCAGATATATGCTTTACAAATATTTTCTCCTAGTCTGTGTTTTGTCTTCTCAATTTACTGTTCATCTTCAGTTTTCTGTGGATCAGCTGTGGTGGGAATGATTTAATTCACACTAATTGGCAAATTGCTACACATCAAGGCTTTGTTGGTTGTCTACATATAAGAAAGTAATGGGAAAATATTAATAATGCAGATTAAACTCATTTTTATGTTGTGTCTATAGCCTTTACATTGTGAATAGCACAAAAAAGTGAGGAAGTATTCTTGCCAGTATTTGAAAACTGTTATCAGTGAAGAAGTTATACAAGTCATTGACGAATAAATGAAGTTCAGGCATATGTTCATTGTTTTACTCTTTTGTCATTGCAACCATTGCTTGGCTATAGGAGTTCAGCAAAAACTGATTGTGACTATCAGTTGGCTATGTGGAATTTATAATAAAGTATTACATATTTTGTCATTATTTATAAATCATGATACATATATTTTTATCTAAGTAAAATTTTATAGTAAGCTTATGTATATATGTATGTGCATACATTTTTTTCTGCAGAGCCAGTTGTTAAAATATTTACCAGCATACCACTGGCCGTATACTAATAAGTAAGCACTAGGGGAAAAGACTTTAGACTCATGTGACTAGAATGAGTCAAGAAAGAAAAATGAGGTCAAGAAACATAGTCATTCTATAGGTGATAAGAGAATTGACTGAATGCCAAGACCAGAGGATGAAAAGGAAGAGTAGTATGTAGAGAAATGAGAGGCATACTATATAAAAGGCCACATCCATTTCCTTACCACTAAAGACACAGGGAAGTGAGTTGTTAGTTGTAGGGTATTTGTTTTTAGTCTGATTTGACTTCCTCTTGGCCTGTAACTGTCTGCTAATGCTGTTGAAGAAGAGTATCAAAAACTCATATGTTACAGGTTGAGCATCCCTAATCTGAAAATTTGAAATTTGAAATGCTCCAGAGTTTGAAACTTTTTGACCCTGTACATAACACCTCAAGAGGAAAATTCCATAGTTGACCTCATGTGATGGGTCACAGTCAAAATTTAGGCTCACTGTATGTAGTTTATTCAGCATCTCTAAGGGAAAAAAGACCCTCCCAGCACTCTTCAGCTGTGATACATCTTTTCTACGTACGCCCATATACCCCCATGCAAGTGCATGCATGAAGGGTGATAAAGTAGCACATTTGTAGGTTGGATGCACCAACAGCAGGTTCTCCATGATGCCCCCCCGTGTGCGTTACTCACTGTGTTTTTTTGCTTAGTGTCTGCTCTGTGCTGTAAAGATATTGTTGAAAATGCCAATAAGGCCTGCAGGTCCTCTATGGGTAGCAGTGATAAAAAGAAAAAGAAAAAGAAGAGGTATTTATGTTTATCTATAGCACAGAAAGTCGAGCTGTTGGAGAAAGTGGACAGTGATAAAAGTGTGAAACATCTTACAGAAGAGTATGGTGTTGTGTGACCTGAAGAAACAGGATAAACTGTTGAAATTCTATGCTGAAATTGATGAGCAGAAGTTAATGAAAAACAGAAAAATACTACATAAAGCTAAGAATGAAGATCTCAGTTGTGTTCCTGTAACTTTCAGTGTTCGTCAGTAAGCTGGAAGAATTGGATATTGCAGAAGTTTTTAACATTGTTAACGAGGCTCCAGTTGTTCATTGATTGTCCGATGGTGAAATAGCTGAAATGGTTCTGAGTGAAGGTGATGGTGGTACTAGTGACAATGAAGATGACATTGTTAACACTGCAGGAAAAGTGCCTACAGATGACATGGTGAAGATGTGTGATGGGCTTATTTGAAGGACAAGAACAGTGTGCATTCATAACAGAAGAAGAAATAATGTCTGTTTATAAAATCAAAGAGAGATTCTAAGACAAGCTGGTGTTAATGAGGTTGGAAACTCTGGAGGAAACATTTAAAAAAGCCATCCAGGGCCGAGCCCGTGGCGCACTTGGGAGAGTGCGGCCGCAGGTTTGGATTCTACATAGGGATGACCGGTGCGCTCACAGTGCTCACTGGCTGAGCACGGTGCGGCCGGTCTCAAAAAGGACACACACACAAAAAAGCCATCCAGCAGCATGCCTTCTCTTCCCTAGAGGACCCACTTCCTGGTCCTTCAACTGCTCCTGATATTTCTTCTCACCTAAAGAAAAAACCAAAAACCAAAAAAACCCAAACAGTGTACAGTAACATTTTAATCAAAACATAGCATTGTAGGTAGAGACTGAAAGTTTGCTGCTGTTTGTTGTTGGTGTGTTTAACAGCTGATACAGGTATTCTGGTGATGCAGCTGTGTTGTTTAGTTACCCTGAACACATTGTTTTTTTATTGTATTAATAGTATGTCATTTTTTTTTTTTTACTGTTAAGTATGTGTTAATAAGTATAAGAAAACGATAGATTATTGGTAGCATAAAAATTCAGAGTCAGGAATGATGGTGCTGCCAAACAACCATGTACTGTCCACATAGGTGGCTGAGGTGACAGCTTTGCTAGTTCTGATTGTTCAATGTAGGCAAACTTTAATGCACAAAATTATTTAAAATATTGTATAAAATTACCTTCAGGCTATGTGTATAAGGTGTATATGACACCAGTGAATTTTGTTTTTAGACTTGGGTTTTGTCCCCAATATATCTCATAAAATGTATGCAAATATTCCAATATCCAAAAAATCTGAAATGTGAAACACTTCTGGTCCCAAAGCATTTCAGATAAGGGATACTCAACCTGTATTAGTGTTACATTAACAACTTTAAGTAAGCCCTGATCATCTCGAAGTTTAATTATCCTTCAGACCAAAAAAGATTACAAAATATTTTTAAAGTTTAAATTGGAGCACTGTGTAGAACAATTGTGTGTTCCCTATTCTAGAAGTTGCATTGTTTTTTAATCTATGCACTAAATTCAATTATGTTTATCGTAGTTATTATATTTCTTTCAAAAGTTTCTTTTCAAAATATCTTGACTTTTGAACCTGATAATTAAGTCTAAAAAATATTTTGTTTTGTAGCCATGCAGGATATACGTACTGTGGGTCTTGTGCCGCCCATGCTTACAAACAAGTGGATCCATCTATTACGTAAGTAACACAGTCAGATAAAGTTTTAAGTGGGAGAAGTCTGGGAATTATATGATAATTGCTTTGTCATAGAAGTAGTTTGTTTTTTATTCTTGATGACATTATGCACTGGATTTCATTAGGAATTTTTTCTTTTTATGAATTTTTTATAACTTTTATAGGTTCAGAAAAACTTTAATACTCTTATATTCTTTTCTTTGTCTGAACATTTAGTTTTTACCCTCCCTTCAGTTGGCAAAATGTTTAGCTCTGAAACTAGTAGAAGATTAATTATTTTGGTTTTAAATTTTTCTTTGAAAGCCTGGAGATGAGCATTTCTAAGAATAATGCAAAGCGCTTTATTCTATTTTAATCATTTTGTAATTAAAAATTCTTTATTGTACTTGTTAAATTTTGCTTACTGAAAAAATAATTTCTCACTGACAGGATAAGGTACTTGAAGTATTTAATCTAACAGTGAATTTAATATGGTGTTTTAAGTATATTAATTCTTAATAAGTCAATGATAGCTCTGAAATTAGCTTTTTACAAAAAACTTCTTGGGAGGTTGAGACTGATTAATTAGTGTACTACTCTCTAAAGAAAGAAATTTGTGAACTTTCAGGAGCTTCTGCTGGAAATGGCCACCCAAGTTTCTTAGTTTGCTGACCAGCATTTTAAATAATTAATTTACTAGTTGTGAACCAATGTCAGGATCCAATCTATATTGCGAGATGTACAAACTATGTGAATACAGAAAACAATCAGTCATCTTAATTCTTTCAAATGTTGATTTTTCAGTAAAGTTGTACTAGTGGAGATGTAGCATAGTTATTCAAAAGAAGTAACTCATAGCAGCCATGAGTTTAAAAAAAAAAAAAAAAAAAAAAAAATTCCGGGCCGGCCCGGTGGCGCACTCGGTAGAGTGCGGCGCTTGGGAGTGTGGCAGCGCTCCCGCCGAGGGTTTGGATCCCATATAGAGACCAGTCTGCTCACTGGTTGAGCGCGGTGCAGGTGCGACACCGAGGGTTGCGATCCTGTTGCCGGTCACGGTATGGGCGCGACACCGAGGCTTGCGATCCCGTTACCGGTCATGAAAAAAGACAAAAAGGAAAAAAAAAATTCCCACAGCCCTCTCCTTTGCCTTAGAGCAATTTATTCAAATTTTTAAAAGAAGAAATCTAGTTATTTTAATTTTTATGTTGTGTTCTCTGTGCACTACATCATACTTTTGTTGCAAATTATTTTTAGGAAGTTTTTAGTAATAAACAATAATATTGTCAAATTGGTAAGGTTTGGGTTAGCCCTGCCTCATTTATGATGGAGTGTCTTTAGCAAATATTTCTTGATGCATATTTAGTATACAATCTTAACTAATTTATTTCATGCATAAGAGCAAATAGAACTTCAACTGGAAGATTTTTAGAAGCTTCTTTTATTTGACCTGGGTCTGTAAAGCAGCTATAATCAAGGTTAGTGTGTAATGGCTTTTTCCAAACCTTTCTGGCAGAATTTTTACATCAAAAATTTTTACATCAAAAGTTTCATGGAAAGATTCATATTATCTTTTAATTCTATTTTTCCACGAACTTTTTCAAGTACTCTCACGTTGATGGTGTCATGTGCTGGAGGAGTATCCCAGAATTAAATTTGGCTTAGGACTAGTGGGGTATAGAGTCTATGTTGTTAGAAATGGAAAGCATGTGTTAAATAAGTTGATGGCAAGTGAGAATGGAAGGAAAAAGAAAAGGGGGAGAAAAAGGGTAGAGATACAAGGACTAAGAAGAAGAGTAAGAGAAAGCGAAGCAAATGATGGGTGGTGATATGATCAGATTATTTTCATAATTAGTATAAAATAATTGAATTCTGAATAAATATATTTGAAGGTTTAAGTATAAAAATAATAATTGACAGTCACAGTGGGATTCTCTTGAAAGTGGCCCTCCCTGAGTATTGCAGTGACTATAGAGTCCTTTGAGAAAATAGAGGAAAAATATCTTTTTGGACCCTATGAGAAGTATAGAGAAAAAATGATAGTTGGTCCAAGAGAGAAGGTTAAATTCTATACCACAAGTTTCCATTCTTCCACAGTAATCCATTTTCTTCAAGCCAACCAGGATCATCTTTTTAAAATGTAAATAATATCACTTCACTTCCTAGAACTTAAAAGGGGTAGGGTACAAGTAGGATTTTAAGAATAACAGGTAGAAAAATTATTTCAAAATTAATATTGGAATGCTGGCTGGCAACTTGGAAAAAGAAATCAATTTAGACTCTCTACTAACACCATACATCAAAGTAAATACCAGTTAGATAAGGCTGTTAAACTAAGTGGAGAAGAATATTGAACCACAGCAAATTTGGAACACAGGATAGCTAAATGCTTATGAGGCATTGTTGGGGAGATTATAAAAAGTGATAAATTATAATTAGAAACAGATTAAATTACATGAAAATTAACTCATCATAATGTAACCAAAAGGAGCAATAAACAGAATGGGAAAAATATTTGCAAAAATATGACAAATAAGGGATTAGTATTATTAAAAAAAATCATAGAACTCAGTTGCTAAATGGTTTATGAAAAAGTATAAATGATTAATAAAAGAAAAATTAAAATATGTTTTACTTCTTGTAGTGGATTGAATTACATTCCCCCAAAACTCATTGAATCTTGAATTGTGTCCTCCAAGTTTTATGTATTAGAAACTTGGCCCCTACTGTGATTATTAAGAGGGTGGGATATCCTGTGGTAATTGAAAGGGGGAGCCATGAAGAGGTGATTGGATTTTAGGACCATGTGATAGTGAAGGGATTAAAAATGGTGGTTAGGGGCGTGGTTCTGAGGCCTTTAAAAGAAGAGGAGAGTCTGTCTTTCTTTCTCTCTCTCTCTGCTTCCACCATCTTGCAATCTGAGACCCCTGGTTCACTGTCGGCATCACCAAATCGACTGTGGACTTCCCAGCCTCAGAAATTGTAAGCACTAAATTTAGTTTTCTTTATAAATCACCCAGTTCCTTGTATTTTGATATAAGAAACAGAAGTGGACTAATACAGAAATTGGTATCAAGGAGTGGGGTGTTGCTATACAGATACCTGAAAATGTGGAAGTGGCTTTGGAACTGGGTAATGAGTAAAGTTTGGAGGAGTTTGGAGGACTCAGAAGAAGAGAAAAAGATGGAAAGTTTGGAACATTTTAGAGGTTGGTTAAATGGTTGTGACCAGAATGCTGATAGAAATGTGGACAGTAAAGGCCATGCTGATGATGAGGTCTCAGATAGAAAGGACTAATACAGAAAATTGGTACTGAGGAGTGGCATGATGCTACACAAATACCTGAAAAGGTGGAAGAAGCTTTGGAACTGGGTAATGGGCAAAGGTTGTAGGAGTTTGCGGGACTCAGAAGATGACCAAAAGATGAGGGAAAGTTTGGAACATTTTAGAGGTTGGTTAAATGGTTGTGACCAGAATGCTGATAGAAATGTGGACAGTAAAGGCCATGCTGATGATGAGGTCTCAGATAGAAATGATAAACTTACTGGGAATTGGACAAAAGATAACCCTTAGTACACCATAGCAGGGAACTTGGCTGCATTGTGTCCAAGCCCTAGGACTTTGTAGAGGTGGCACTTAAGAGTGGTGAACCAGCATATTTGGCAGAAGAAATTTCTAAGCAGCAAATCATTAAAGAAGCTGTATGGCTACTTGTAACAGCCTACGCTGAGTTATGGTGGCAAAGGCATGACATAGAGCCAGAATTTAAAAGGGAAGCAGAGAGTAAAGATTTGGAAAATTTGCTGCCTGGCCTTGTGGTAGAGAATGAGAGAACCCTTTCAGGAGAAAAATGCAAGGGTGCAGCAGATAGACTGATTGCTAAAGACATTAGCATGGCCATGAGACAACCAGGTTTCTAATAGCCAAGACAATGGGAGAAAGGTCTTGAAGGCATTTCAGAAGTCTGAAAGGACGCCCTTCCCCACAAGGCCCGGAGAGGCCTAGAAGGACCGAGTTGTTCCAGAGGACAGAAGGACCGAGTTGTTCCAGAGGACAGATCCAGGGTACAGCTGCCCTTGGGAACTTGCTCTCTGCATCCCAGCTGCTCTGGCTGGAGCAGCCTTGCCTCAAGCAGCCCCAAGTGTGGTTCGCGCAGCAGCTCTGGAGAGCACAAGCCAGAAACCTTGGTGGCATCCATGTGGTGGTAAATTTGCAGTCCAGCAGAACCTGAGTGCAGTGGAGGCATGGTAGCCTCCACCCAGATTTCAGAGGACATATGGAAAAGCCTGGGGATCCAGTCAAAGACCTGCTGCAGGGGTGGAGCCGTGGAGCGGAAAAGTATGGTTGGAGCCCCCACAGAGAGCCTCTGCTGCTGAAATGTCTAGTAGAGCCAAGGCAGCAGGGCTGCTGCCAGGACCCCAGAACTGTAGGGCCACTGGCAATGCACAACACTGGCCTGGAAAAGCTGCAGGCACTGGTACAGCCCAGTGGGCTGTATCCAGCAGAGCTGTGGGGGCAGGGCCGCCTGATATTTTGGGGGCCCAGATGCCCTACTTAGAGTCAAAGAAGATTATTTTGGAGCTTTAAGATTTAATGTCTGCCCTGCTGGATTTTGGACTTGTTTGGGGCTTTTTTCTCCTTTCTTCTGGTCTATTCTTCCCTTTTAGAATGGGAATGTGTACCCAATGTCTGTTCCACCATTGTATCTTAGAAGTAGGTAATTTGTTTTTGATTTTTACAAGTTCACATCTGGAAGGAGTTTTACCTTTGGTCTCAGATGAGACTTTGGACTTTGGACTTTTAAGTTGGTGTTGGAACAAGCTAAGACTTTTGGGACTGTTGGAATGGAATGATTGTATTTTGTATGTGAGAGTGAGATGAGTTTTGTGAGGCCAGGGGTGGAATGATGGAGTTTGGATGTGTTGTCCTCCCAGAACTCATGTGGAAATCTGTTCCCCAATGTGGCAGTGTTTGAAGCTGTTTGAGTTATGGAAGCAGATCGGTCGTAAATGGATTAATGCTCTCCC